CGTGCCACCTGAAGAAGCCACCGTCGAAGAAAAAACTCTACTCAGTTTTGAGAAGGGAAATGGTGAAGCCCCTGATGATGTTACTACCACTGATGTGACTGTTATCGACGATAGGACATTTCCTGATGAAGCAGATGAACCCCATATGAAGCAGAAGCCAACGAGACGGAGACCGGTACGGAAGAAGATACGTCCCGTAAAATTAAGAGACTTTGTTGAATTGTAATTTTGTGTTTGTAATTCTGTACATTTTAATTAAGTTATTGTTAATTGTTATTGGTTTATTGTAAGTGGCTATTGTTCGGGACGAACAATACTAAGGAGGGGCAGTGTTGAGTCAGCGAGGTCACGTGATTAGTATCACGCCACCTATTTTCTAGAAATATCATGTTCCTTCGTGAATGCCCTAGCATTTACTTGATATGTGTTAGTCTTGTATATATATAAGACGGTCACAACGTGACGGAACAACAGTGCAATGAGTAATTGAACTTCAGTTAGAGAGTGTGTAATTGAACTCGAGCACGTGTGACGTTTGTTATAGCGCGACTGTTCAAATTAAGTGTATCGCAAAGTTATATTCAGAAAGAATAAACCAGTTTTATTTAAGAAAGGACTTGTGTCGCTAAAGCTTCGTCGGAACGAATTTACGGGAAGTCAATTAACAAACGGAGACGTAACCGGGTGGTATTTGAATAAAAGGTTTACCAAATTATTCGTTTTCGTACATCACTAGTGCAGGACTGTGAAACCAATGGTCTATGGTTAGCATCTAGTTGCTGCGAAATCGCTCTCTGGGGTCGTGGGTGCGTTATAAGAGTAACGGTTAAATCTCACTAAAGTGTTAAAGTAAACTAACACTAACAGTTGGTGATGTTAACAACGTAGGAACGCCTAGAGGCATATAGCCATTGCGTAACATTTCACTTATAGTTATACTCGTAAGTCTGTCCGAAACAACTACTCAAATTGTACATCCATGTTTATACACGTGTTAGAGTTTAAAACGATGTAAAATAATTTATTTGTCATTTTTCTGACAGTACTGGCTTACCAAATAAACGAATAAGTATCCAATAAACAATTACCTGGTTACGTAGTGAAGAAACTATGCAAGTTGTGGTTGGGGGTGTTTTTGTTATGAAGAATATGTGTTTCGTGTTATGAAATTGAAAGTCGAAGAAGAACGTGATGCTATTGTTAGTGTACGGGTCTAGACTTATTCGTAAGCCATGGTTTGGAATATTGCACAAGATTCTTACAAGTTCAATTTTAAGAACACAGGAAACACATTATTCCAAATCCTGTATCTTTCAAAAACGAATTAGTCTTAGTAATGTATTTAGTAAGAGTTATTATACAATTTACAGCAACTCTGATAGGCCTAAGTCCTTGATGTTAAGCAGGTTAGTTTTACCGATGGCAATACCTGGAGTTGTGCCCTTGCTTCGAAAACGGGAGGTAAGGATAAAGGTACTCATAAACTGTCCTAAATATATATATATATTTATTTATTTATGTGTAAAAAATACAATTTTATAGATATAGAATTACACTGCTCTAGTTATACAAAATCTAAATTTACCTAACTTTGTTTGAAACTGAAGGAAGAGATAGGGGTGCCAGAACTGTAAACAGTAACTGTAAAGGTAAGTTTATAGTTTATAACATTATACATATATTATTATAGCACTAAAATTAGAACTCTAAAAAAAGGGTGAAGGTTGGGTGATACATTTTGACAAAAAATTGAAAGTGGCTGATGATATCAGATTTCAATTTTTCTGTTTTTAGTGGTAACTATCATACCCATAACCAGCTTCAAACAGTGAATGATAGTGAAATCTGGGATGTTGAGGGCTCTAGCACCCAGATCCTAACCTTTTATTGAATCTGTAGCTTGCTTTATAGTTCTGTGTCTGTTGTTTTGATTATGTCTGATAGACAGAAAGTTTTCAACGCCTTTGGGTGCTATGACCGCAGACATTTTTTTCATTATAAAATGTTACCATTTGTAAAAAACGGTATAGTTTTACATTGTTTTGTTACAGTTTTCCTGATGTGATCATGTATATGTTGGCATGTAATAAAAATATTGTATTTTTACATAATTATTTCATCAGGGCTGTATAGATCCACAACTTTATAATATTCTTTATGTACACAAACCTCCACTTTTTACTTCTCTGATTAAAAACAAGCCACTTTTACTATTTAAATTTCCTTAACATCAGAATAATTATTTATGACATAGTGATTCAGTGTTAGCTTTCTACTTAAATATGCAAACATGCATTTACTGATTTCGGTTGAGAGGTCTGAGTTTTATCATTTTCTCACATTTGGGTTCAACTTGATAAATGTAAATAATCAAAACCTTTTCAGGTTGGTTGTTATAAGAAGCGTACTGTGCTCCTTCATCTGGTGTACTTGGTTTGACTTGAGTATCGTGTTATTTATTATTCATGGAGTCATCTCGTACCATAACATGCAGACAGCACTGGCTCACTTAATAATGTAAACTTCTGACCTCCACTTCTGTTGATAATAACCCATTCCACAAGCTAATCACCATAAAACTGTCTTATATAGAACCTAGTTTGTCTTTTTCAAATTGTGAACTTGTCATGCCTGGCCTGTTTTTATTTGACAACTTAATTAATCTGGCTGTAAATATTTCTGTTAATCTGCTCAAATATATTACAGAAAATACTAATAAAAATTTTAGAGTAAAGAGAACTGTTGAATTTAAAATGATTCTGGTGACTCAGTTCTTCGAAGATAAAAATTCTTGTAGAAAGGTAGATTAGCTGTAATTAGTTGAAGTAGGCAGATGATTTACCTAACGTCAAATGAAGTTCTTGCCAGAAAGGTAACATAGTTAATTAGTTGAAGTAGGCAGATGATTTACCTAACGTCAAATGAAGTTCTTGCCAGAAAGGTAACATAGTTAATTAGTTGAAGTAGGCAGATGATTTACCTAACGTCAAATGAAGTTCTTGCCAGAAAGGTAACATAGTTAATTA